GCATTCCAATGCACGCGGCGCTACGCCCGATTTATGTTCGCCGTTCGGGCTGGCAATGAGGCCCAAACGGCGAGCTGACGCGTGGTTTCACATCGTGCCGAGGCGGCAAGCAGGCGGTGACAGACAGCATGATCGCCAAGGGGCTGACTGCAGTACCATACGAGAAGCTCAGCGACGCCACATACCAGAACCTCATGCATTACGCTGGCTTCTGTTATGCTTGCCTCCTGCTTGTGAAGAGCCGCGTCGGCAGCGGGTCCAACAGTGCGCCAGTGTGCAGCACGTGGGTGTGGGTATCGCGGGGGACGACCAAAAGACGACCATGGCAACCTCTCGGAGACCCAACCATTGAGAACGTTGCCAACGCCAACACGACGATCTCCCGGGTGATGATACTATGCTGGATCCTGGTCAGCAAAGGAATGTTACTACGTTCCGTACATTCCGCCGCTCCCCAATAGAAAAATCTCGAATGGTCCCCGACGGGCCCTGGGCCAATTGTTCATATATCCCCTGGGCCCCAAGATGGGCCCCGAAATGCTGCCCCCGAGGCCTCGGTGGGCCCCGCGCGGTGCGAAACCAATATAGCGCCGCGATGTGGGCATGCATGCGCCGCCCAAGCACACATCGATATGCCAATCGTACGAACCAAGGTTCGTGGCGGATCTTCTTCATACTCGAACAACCGAGGGGCTCGCTCATGGAATGGCACCCCAGGTTCCAGGAATTCATCAAGAGCCACAAGTTGTACAGGGTGTGTGTTGAAATGGGGCGGTTCGGGGCACAGACGGCGAAGCCGTCGTGGCTATACTCAGCACACGAGTTCATCCAGGAGCTGCCCAACTACCAAGGTGCGAAGTCATACCAGCCAGGCCAGAACATGTTGGTCGACATGGTCAAGACCTCCGACGGCACCGTCCAAATCAACGGGAACCACCGCATGAAGGGCAGCCAGGCGTACCCGAAGGCCTTCGGCAAGGCCGTTGCCGATCTCTACATGGCGCATCGGGCGGTCTGGGCTGTGAAATGAGTGGAGAACGCTATTGATGCGTTCAACTTGGTGTCTCCCGGTCTCTTCTCCTCCTTCTCCTCCTCCCCCTCCTCCTCCTCCTCCTCCTCCTCCTCGACCTCCTCCTCCTCGACCTCCTCCTCCTCCTCCTCCTCCTCCTCCTCTTCTTGATCTCCACCACCCCCCCGCTGCGGCGGACGGCCGCGCCTCGGGGGACATCCCCGCGGCAACAGTCGGCGTCGGAGCCTTGCGGCGGGCGGAGCGAGGAGCGAAGATGAGGGGTCATGATGACTGGGGAGCACATGGAGGAATGGAAGAAGGAGGAGCACACGGAGGAATGGAGGAAGGATCGAAGATATGGTGGCGTCGATCGGAGTCGGATCGGTCTGACGTCGGCCCCGAGGCCGAGCTCAAGGCAGCAGGGCAGGCGCTGATCCAGAAATCGAGCTCTGTGAAGGTGCGCCTCGCGCGTGACATCGCCACGAATACGCTCGCGGGCAAGCGCCGCTGGGCGGATGCTGACCTGAAGCCCGTGTTCGGGTACTTAGATCTGTAGGAGGTGGTACCCCCTATTGCCACCTGCGCCTCCATGGACACCAACGATGTGCGTGCGCCCACCCACGCCGCTCCTGGGCCCATGCTCGGCGCGCACATTCTCCCGGCCTGGCCGTGGATGCATGTGCGCTGAGCATGGGGCCAAGAGAAGCTCGGTGAACATGTGCACGCGTCGCTTGTGTCACCCGATGCCCGTGCTGCGCGCTGCTGCGTGAGACGCGCCCTGCACACAACCTCTCCGCCATTATAAGACAAAAATAATACCACTGACGTGTCAGCCCTCCCCCCCCAACCCTCCCCCAAGCAAATCCACGCCCGTAGAATGGCCGTGAGACAGCCGTAAAGTGGCGTGTAATGCCGTAAAATGGTTCCCCATCCCTCCCCTTCCCCCGCCAACCCTCCCCGTGACAAAAATCCGCAGCCGTAAAATGGCCGTGAGACAGCCGTAAAGTGGCGTGAAATGCCGTAAGATGGTTTTCTTCCACCCCCCGCCATTGTTCCCCCTGCCCCGTCAGCCCTACCCCAGCCCTCCCCACAACACACACGTCAGCTCGCTGCCTGATCCCCGCCGCCCGCCCAAACCATACTATACTTGGAGCGAATAGTTCATCTTCTTTGGGCTGGGGACCCCTAGAGTTGCCACGAAGCCTCAGTGAGGAACCTTGTACAATTCTGTCTCACAGAAAATCAGACGCGGCCCCGTGTGCATGCGAATGCCCACATTTCGTGCTCATGCAATTCGTATTCCTCCCCGTCCTCCCCCCCCATCCTGATCGTCGTCCTCATCCTCCTCCTCGTCCCCCTCCTCGTCCTCCTCCTCGTCCTCCTAGCCATCCTCGTCCTCCTCCTGTCCCAACTCGGTTTCCTATCGGTTGCACTATAGGTTGTGCCCATCGGCGGCTGGTAATAAAACCGTCTCCTATCGGTTGCGGCCTCGGCAGCTGATAGTCCCACCAGCCTTCTGGGCGTCGGTGGTTTAGTGAATGTTTGATCGATCTCCTCCAATATGGCCCCACGAAGCGCCCATGAGGCCCCAAGAGGTCCCAGGATGGCCCCAAGACGGCCCCAAGATGCCCCCAATATGCCCCCAGGAGACCCCCAAAAGGATCCCGAGCGGGCCCAAGACGCCCCCCCCCCCCGAGGCACCCAAGACGCCGACGATCCCCCCACGACCGCCAAGAGACCCCCAAGATGTCCCAAGACGCCCAAGAGGTACCCCAAGAGGCTCCGAGAAGCATCCAAGGGACCTCTGACCCTTTTGCTTGCTCTCCTCCTCCTCCCCCTCCTCCTCCTCCTCCTCCTCCTCCTCCTCCTCCCCCTCCTCCTCCCTTCTCATCATCCTCCTCCCCCTCCGCCTCCTCCTCCTCCTCCTCCTCCTCCTCCTCCTCCTCCTCCTCCTCATTGTATTCATCCTCCTTGTCCCTGCTCCCTCATCCATCCATCCAATTTTCTCCTTCGCCCCCTCTCTCCTTCACACGGCTCGGCCGCCCCCCTCTTTGCTCCAGCACTTCGCCCCTGATCACCTCTCAACTCGCATGGGCATCGTGTCTGAATGGGCTGGTGGGGATCCCTCATCGGCTGATAATGAAACCGTTTGCTATCGGTTGTGCCATAAATTGCGCCCATGGCGGGCGCGAGTAAGACCGTCTCCTTGTGCCATATGTTGCGCCCTCGGCGGCCGAGGATAAACGCGTCTCCTATCTGTTGTGCCATATGTTGCACCCTCGTGGGGAACGGTGATACAACCGTCGCCTATCCGTTGCGCCATGGGTTGCGTCCTTGGGTTTACCTCGCAAGAAACGAATTCGGGCTACGCTTGAACACAACAGCCTCTGTTCCGTAGCCATTAGTGCTTTAAGGTCGTCGCCCCAAGCTGCTGACGCTGTGGCCCACACCGCACCTCTGGAGGCCATGTCTCAAGTTGCCCCTCCTGATCTGTCCGGCGTGGTGGCGACGAAGGGCGAGGTGATCCGCGCCCCGCCGCCAGCACGTGAGAGGAGCACGCCTCGGATGGAGCTGAGCCGCCCTAAGCAGGCGAAGCCGATGGCCTCGAAGTCAGCCCCCGCTTCCAAGCCGAGCCTGGTCCGCCTGGGGGGGAAGACCGACGCGCTGGCGGCGGCCATTCGCATGCCTGGGGCACGCTCGTCCCCGGGCCAGCCTGCGACGTCGGCCGCACATGAGCAGGTGGCGCCAGTCCTCCCGGCGGCACCTGCCAGCGGTGCCACTCAGGTGGAGACACCTGATTACTACGACTGGAGGTCCGAGGCGTACTTGCACCAGCGGTTCCCCTCCGAGTACGTGTCGCAGCTTGTGAAGATGAAGACCAGGCTGAAGCAGTGCAACGATGGCATCAATGACGTGCGGCACTACTGGGTCAAGTGCGAGCCCGACGACGACGGTGCTGCCACGCCTTGCGGGGGAACGGCTACCCCAAACGTGGCGGAGATGCTGGAGAAGAACCTGACAGAGATCTGTTCCGAGATCGGCCTGCCCCTGGAGAAGATCGCGTCGGCGTGCGGCTGCGCGTCCCTGTCCGCTCTGATCGCCAAGCTCGCCGAGGGTGCCGAGTTCGAGGACGAGGATGACATGAAGCACGAGCTGGACACGTTGGTCCTTTGGGTGGTGGAGGGGGGCGAGATGGCGTCGAGCGCGGCGCCGAGCCCCTGCGCTGCGTCCGCAACCCCGGCTACGCCCCCGCAACGGCCCGCCGCGGCCGCGCCCGCGAGCGAGCCACAGCCGACGGCTGTGCCGAAGGCTGTGCCCGCGACCCCGACTACGTTCGCGGGTGCGCCGCTGCCTGGATCGCCTGTGCCATGTGCGACACTGTCCTTCAGCGAGTTGGGCCGCCAGCCACGGGCCAAGCAGCTTGCTGCGGCCGTGCCGTTGCCCGTCGTCATGGAGGGGTCCCAGGAGAGCATGCGCAGCGACATGGACGCGGCGCCTGAGTTCCCCGACCTCGATGCCATCGACTCGGCTTTCTGCCCAGAGGAAGCTGGCGCGCCCCCTGACGACGCTGGCTCGGCAGCTGGCGTCGCAAATATGCTGGCCACAGATGAGGAGATGGTTGCGCTGCAAACGAGCTTCTCGTGCATGGAGGCGGGGGGCGGCTCGACGGAAGCCACTGCGCCCGGAGTGCTCGATCCCTCGGGGTGCGCAGCGGCCGCAGCGGATGCCATTCTCGCAGCAGCGCAGGCAGCAGCAACGGCGTCATCCCAGCCGTCGCCGCCGAAGATGCCTCGCTTGCTTCAGCGAGACGCCCCTGGCCAGCAGCAGACTCAGCAACAGCAGCCACCCCAGCAGATTCAGCAGCAGCAGCCACCCCAGCAGATTCAGCAGCAGCAGCCACCACAGCAGCAGCAGCAGCCACCCCAGCAGATTCAGCAACATCCAGCACCACAACCACTGCCCGCCGCTTGCCCTGTAAGCGGAGCCCCAGGTACCTACCGCAACTCGGTGACGGACCCAGATCTGTATGCGAAGTTCGGCAGGCAGGTCGCGAACAAAGAGATCTTCCCCGTGGGCCTGAAGACCGAGTTGTCCACCAAGAAGAAGAAGACCGATCTCTTCAACCTTTGGCTCGAGCAGGATCAAGACATGCAGCGCGTAAGTGTGGTCATCCAGAGGCGCCTCGAGAATGAGCAGAAGGGCGAATCTGAGTACTCCTGGCTCAAGGCTCGGCAGATCGCGGCGCTCGGGATCTACACGGAGGACGGCGTGAAGAAGCTCATCGAGAAAAAGTTGAAGGAGAAACAGTACTTGAGAGATGGCGAGTTTCCAGAGAAAGACGACGAGAACTACTACTATGTCCGCACTGCCCTCAAGAATACGAAGACGACCAAGCAGATAGATTCCTTGAGTGTCTCCCACGCGACCGAGACGGACAAGCACGGGCTGCAGGCGCTCATCGGTGAGGGCGGGGCCCTGAACGCCGACATGCAGGTCCTCGTCGGGGACGCCAGCAGCGTCGACGCGTTCGACCTCAGCAGCGCGGTGCCCGGCAAGAAGCAGCCGCCCCCGACAGGCGTGGAGCAGTCCACGGCCAACGTTGTGGCGTCGGTGACGCCCTTGCAGAAGTGCCTCGAGATGATGAAGGACATGAGCAAGCAGAGGGACAATGCCGAACGCTTGGCGTTCGAGCTGGGAGCCTTCAAGCTGAGCACCGAGATGGAGAAGCAAATGGGGACCCACGCGTCCCGCATGAAGGTGGGGGGTCGCACCAACGATCCCTATGAGCCAACTCCTGGGGAGAGAACGAGCGAGGAGAGAGGGAGGATGAGGATGAAAGGAGGGGAGAAGGCGGAGGATGGAGATCGGGGGGCGGAGGAAGTACCCACTATGGCGTACCCATCTGTGCCTGAATGAGTCTCCTGAACCTGGCTCCTCAATACTATGGCGTACCCGACCCCATCGTCACTATAGCTTGAATCTGGCTCAATAGGGCACATCGTGATCAATACTATGGTGTGCCCGACCCCGTCGTCACTAAGATCTGGCTCCTGAATCTGGCTCCGCAATACTATTGAGTACCCGACCCCATCGTCACTATGGTTTAAATATGGCTCAATATGGGTCCTCATGATCGGTACTATGGTGTACCCGACCTTGTCGTCACTAAGATCTGGCTCATGAGTATGACTCCTCAATATTATGGCGGACCCGGCCCCGTCGTCACTATGTCTTGAATATGGCTCCTGGCTCCTGAATATATATATACATATACATACATACATACATACATACACACATACATACATACATACATACATACATACATACACATACATACACACACATACATACATACATACATACATGCATGCATACATACATACATACATACATGCATACATACATATATATATATATGTATATGTAAATGTGTATATATGTATATATGGCGCACCCAACCCAAGGCCTCTAGCATATTTACTCGTCACTATGTTCTCGGCAGGGGCCCTGGAGTCTATGTCTATAGGCAGCCTGGATGCTCGCCAACAAGCTCGTTGAGGCGGCCCAGACGGCGCCCTTCAACGAGCGCGCCTTTGAGGCGCTAAACCTCAAAGTCATGGGGTGGACGAAGTGGTTCGATGAGAGGCACGACGCGGGCAAGACCATGGTCAACAGAATCCAGAACAAACGCAAGCGGGAGGCAGATCCCACGAAGCAGACGTCCGAGGGTGGCGGTCGCGGTGGCGGTAGGGGCCGCGGCGGCAGCAGAGGCAAGCAGGCCAGAACGTAGGTGCAAGCTGCGCGGGGTGTAGCACTAAGGGTTCGACGTGGTGTCGAGCCTCCCTTTTGAAGGGGGCCCTGGGAGGGTGGGGTAGAAAGACGGAGGATAGGGAACACGATGGGATAGGCAGAAACGTCGAGGAGGGATGATGTAAGATACACTGTATCTTTCAATTCGTGAACGTGATCGTGCGACATTGCACGATCCGCGGGGCTTCTATGGACGCTCGTGCTGGCGCCAAAATCAGTTACGACCGCTCCTTTTGGTGCGCTCCCCGGCCCTCCGAGACATCTAGGATCCGTGAGTGCTCGCCTGCAGGCCCTTGACAAGCTCTCTTGACATCAGGTTCTCTGGTCGGAAAGGGGCGTGGCATAAAGGGGTGTGGTGCCAATCGTGGAAATGTCGATGCTATCTGCAATAACTAACATCACCAGAGTCTCTTTCACATAAAATTAACACCACACCCCTTTATACCAGACCGCTTTCCTATACCAAGGTTTCGGGCCTCAGGGGGCCTTCCCTGCATGAGGGGCCGGGGCCGACGTCCTCCAGCACTTGACTTAGCTCCTCGGCGACGTCGTCCTCCTCCTGCTGTCGCTCCTCCTCCTCCTCCTCCTCCTCCTCCTTTTCTTACTCATCCTCCTTCCTAGGCTCCTCCTCCACCTCCTCCTCCTGTTCCTCCTTTTCCCCGTCCACCTCCTCGTCCTTTGCCTCCTTCCCCTTTACTCCCGCTTCCTATCCCCCCCCTCCGCTCCCGTCGCCTCCTCCTTGCCCTCCAAGCGCCCTCGCATCTGCCCATCCCTCTCCGCCCGTCGGCTGCCGCCAGGCACTCGTGACAGATTGGACCGAGCAGCTCATCCAGATGATGCTGCAAGGACGCCCGTTTCGGGCATGCTGCACAGGGTGAGGGGAACAGTGAAGTGGAGGATAGGAGGGAAGGGGTAGGGAGGGTAGGGGGTTGAGAGGAGAAGCGAGGAGGAGGGTCGGGTGTGGGGGACAGGCTGGAGAGAGAAGGGCGAGGAGGACGCACAGTGCGGCGCGGGTGAGGGGGGGCAGGAGAAGGACTACAAGGCAGAGATAAAGAGGAGGAAGAAGGATACAGGGCAGAGACACAGAGGAGGAGGAGGAGGAGGAGGAGGAGGAGGAGGAGGAGGAGTAAGAGAAAGAGGTGGTGGAGGAGGAGGAGGAGGAGCAGAAGGGATAGAAGGCAGAGACCAAGATGAAGAGGATGAGACAGAGAGCTCCAAGTACCATACTATCCAATCGTTGCTCGAGTGCTGGTGCTTTCCCTGTGCGCGTGCCCGCGTGCAAATCGAGATCTCCTGTTGAGCAGCGCCACCATATCCAGAGTAAAAACGTCTCCCAGGAGGAGCCGTTCTCCCGGAGGCCGTTCTCGTGTTCGGCGCGTTCCTCTCCGGGACTTGCCAGTGAGTCGTACTGTTGAGGAGATGTTGCACGCTGTGGGGACAGGCGCTTCAGCGCCAGAGACCCAAGCCCGTTTGGCAAGGGAGATGGTCGCAGATGGCATCGACACTCCAGCAATCAGATCGTTTGCGAGTCTTGGAACCCATGGTGTGTGCTCCTCGAATATAGAACGTGATTTGTTAACATGGACGCAAGGTTTCTGCAAGTGGGAGCTTGACACATACGATGTCAAATTGCAGCTGCTCATGGAGGACGAATACTTGCCCTCTGAAGCGACAGTGCCCTGTCTTTTACCCCACGAGGCGCCACCGCACACCTCGTGAACCTACCCTTTCAATTGCACACAGTGGGGTAGCAGGTGGTAGAAGTACAGGAGGGATGAGGGGGAGGAGGAGGAGGAGGAGGAGGAAGGTGGGTGGGCAGCGGGAGGGAGGGGAGGGGGATGAGGGGATCGCGAAGAGGTGCTGCATTCCTTGCACGCTGCCGGCCACCAGCAGTTCATCATCTCTTGTACAGGGCCCGATGGCTCCGACGGCCTGGTGGAATATTGGGAATGGGCCACCAGTCAGTCCTGGGGGCGAGGCCATCCTGCTCTCGTCGGCACGGGGCGCGAGGAGTGGAAGCGTTTGTTGCCCATCATGTTGCACCTGGATGGGGCAGAGGTGGGGGCCAGTCTCATGGGGAAACATGGAGTGTTCAGGACGGACCCCTGGCCACGTCTCGGGGTGGTTGCGTTTGTATTTTCCAATTTCAAACAGAAGTTCCAAGAGACTGGCCCCCGCTATAGGTCTACAGAGACTCTGAGTTTTACTTCTTCTCGTTTCGCAGCGCTCTTGCTGAAGGCGCTCCCATTGACATAATATTCCCCTTCATGATGGTTCGGCACTGCCACATGTGGGAGCCGGCGGTCAAGAGACGCCTCTTCAAAGGATGCTCGTTTTGTTTTGTGCCATCATTTCTTGTAGGTCTCGGCAGTGGCCCATGGGCTTCGATTGCGCCCCAGTTCGAATGCGCTCCTGCCCGTTTCTTTCTCCCGGCCTCTCGCATAAAAATTGATCCCCAGATGTGCTGGCAGTGTTCGCTTGGAGCATGGAAATCGCAGAGAAGGGTATTGGTCCAGAGAATGGGTTTTACGGTGAACCCCTGGGCCGCGGAAGTTCGTTGCGCGCCCGCTTGTGCGGTCGACAGTTAGCAGGTGGTAGAGATCTCAACGCCCTTCGCCTCTTCTCTCCTCCCCGGCCCTCCCCATTTCTTGCCCCCCCCCTCCGGGGCGGGCAAGGCAATGGCCCTCGCGCCAACCCCCCATTCTCATTCCGAGGTGGTTTCAGAGCGTGTTATGTGGGGACAAAACACGACACGAAAGCCAAAAAGGAGCTCCACGCAGAAGAGAATTGGTGGGCGACGAGTTGGATGTGCAATGATTGTTTCGCATGTAAACCGAGCAAGAAAACTCCGAGAGGGCTCGAGTATGGAGATTTTCGTGCGACCGCACCGTGGAGGGGTACGGTCTTGTCGGACGAGGCCCATCTCAGACTGTATGGGGCTACCAGCCCGGCGTCCAGAGTGCTCCGCAGTGCCCGCCGCCCCCGCTCGCTTCTAGAATAAAATGCGTCCGTCGCCGCATGGGATTTCGGGGGTTTGCAGAGGGGGGGTATCCAACATGTGATAATCAAAAGGAACTATCTCGCCCGTGGCTGAACGGCCTGACTTTACCAAATCAGGGGGCACTGCCACTCCATCAATTACTACGACTGGCTCCACGTTGTGCTGCTGGGGGTTTACAGAGATCATTGTGCTACCCACATCTGGTGCTGGCTCATATGTGGCTTGTTCCCGGAGGCGCCCGGACTTGGAAAATGGCAGGTTTGTGCTGGCAGGGGAAGGGGTGGGAGAAACGACAACTCTAAAAATATAAATCATCGCTCTCAGGCGCTAGTGGACAAGGCGGTGGCCTTGAGAACCTTATGGGGGATGTTCTCAGATTGGTGCAAAGCTAATGGCGTGAGCAGACCCTCGGGAGCATTCACCTTGAGCTCGATTGGTAAAGGTAAAGACTCACACGTATCTTTCCCGGAGATGGGCTCTAAGTTTAAAGCATCGGCGATCAGGTTGATAACAATGTGGGTTGGCACCGCATCAAATTTGCACGGCTGACGCCGAACTCCCGCGCTGAGAAAAATGAGGAGGAAGGGAGGAGGGTCGGGCGAAGAAGAAGGAGCGGAGACGTGAGAAGAGGAGGGCGGTGGAGGGGCGGGTCAATGGGCAGATTGGCGAGAGGGAACGAGAGAGAGAGAGAGGGGGCGAGACAGATAGACAGAGAGAGAGATAGATAGAGAGAGAGAGGGAGAGAAAAACAAGGAAAAACAAGGTGACACGACGGATGCGAAGCGCAGACAGACAACCCGCCCCTCCCATGGCCAGAATAGGTCAGCGGATTTGATCGAGAGAGACACCCAAGATGGGAAAGTCAGGTCAGTGAATGCTTGGGCAGCCGCCGAGATTCAACATTGTCTCGAATCCTCCAGGTGGCTTTTAACTGCACAGCAACGCGACCGCGTCACACACGCGGCTAACACTTTTTTTCACACGCTGCAGTGGTTGGCCTCCAAAGCTGCGGATGAACCAGCCCCGTTGTGGAAGATCCGCCCAAAGCACCATTACTTGCAACATTGCTTCTTGCGTCTTGCAGTGGATCGGCAGAACCCATGCCGCCAGCTCCAGTGCGCAGGCGAGGAAGCTTACCTCGGCGTGCTGAAACGCATAGGGAAGGCCTGTCACGGCGCAACTGTTTACAATCGTTTGTTCCAGCGCCTTTTTTTTGAACTTGCGCATTCGGTGGGAGCGCCGCCGTCGCTCTGGAGCTTGGGCTCTCAGACGGTAGCATCTGCGCTGGAAAGCCAGAGGTGGTGGGAGAGGGAGGGGAAAGGGGGATGCAAAGGCGGACGATAGGGAGATGCCGCGAAGAGGGGCATGGCGCCTGCAGTCGTCGGGCGCCGCCGCCGCGCCCTCGACCAGGACCTGCGGGCGAGGCGGGCCTTCGCCTTGTGGGCCGAGGGGGGGGGAACGCCTTGGGCGGATGTGGAGGCGGATTGTCACACACTCACACACATGTGCACACACGCACACACACATATATCTACACATACATATATATATATACATACAAACACGTGAACATACATACATACATACATACATACATACATACATACATACATACATACATACATACATACATACATACACATTTGTATATATACATACATATACATCTATATAGTTATATATATATATATATACACGTGCACATACCTATGCAAATGCACGCACATGCATATGTTCGTGTACATTGCCACACATGCACATGTAGGAGGAGGAGGAGGAGGAGGAGGAGGAGGAGGAGGAGGAGGAGGAGGAGGAGGAGTGAGAGAACGAGGAGGAAATTCCCCCTCCCGTGGCGGGGGGGCTTCGCGGCGGCCGCCCCCGCCACCCCTGTCGCCCCCCCCCAGGGGGCGGGCTTGCGCCATAGGGTCTTAAGGAAAGGGGCGCGGAGGAGAGGAGAGGTGCCGAACGACCAGACGAGGAGGAGGAGGCGGAAGAGGATGAAGAGGAAGAGCTGGACCTAGACGTCCAGCAAAGCAAAGATCGAAACGAAATCCAGCTAGTAGAACAGGAAACGCCAATCAGACCAGAAATGGAGAAGGCAACCCAGGACAAGAAAGTCAGAGGTGGCCCTCCGACTTGTCCTGGGTCGCCCTCCCCAACTCTGGCCCTGGCGGCGTCTTGGCCTTAGGAAGTCCGCCTGATCCCCATTTGCGCCCCTGCGTCGGTCCCCTGCTCCCTCGGCCTCGCGGACGGATTATGAGGCGTCGCCTCGAGCGCCGACATCGGGCGGGAGCAAAGGAGGCTGCGCGAGAAGCTCTGCCCGTGCAGGGGGGAACCTGCCGCGCCAATCCCGCCCCTCCTATCGCGCCCCCTCCCCCCACAAGAAAAAAACATGGAAGGGCAAAAAAGGGGAAAGGAAGGGCGGGCGGGAACGGCGCGGCAGTTTGCGACGCCCCCGCCGCCGAGGGCAAAGGCCCCGAGCTCGCGTTTAAGTTTCGATGGCGAGCTGCACGCGTTTGCGCGGTGCCGCCCCGGCTTGCGCAGGATCAAGCGCATCATGCAAAATAAAAAACACAGTAGAAACACACACCTTAAAAAACGCACGCCTGCAGGGAGATGAAGCGGGCCAATCCATCTCGGTCGCCCCCCTGCAACGCCCCCCATCCGCCGCGGCAGATGCCCCCTCGCCTCGTTGAGTGCGGGGGGTGCCGCGCGTTGCGGCGGAGAGAGGCGTGCTGGGGTGATCGGGATGGCTCAAATACCCCTTCGTTATCTGCAAGGCGCACGCACACAAGTGCACACACACACGCACGCACATATATATATATATGTGTATATATACACACATAACATACATACGTAAACCTGTACATAGACATGCATACACTCGCATATATATATATATATACATATGTATACATACGTACATACATACATGCATGCACGCATGCATACATACATGCATTCATTCATACCTACCCTATGACCCCTACGAACCCTATGAGCCCCATGAGCCCTCTCGGCCCTAGCTCGATGAACCTCATGGGCCCCCTATGGAGCCCGAGCCCGATAGACCCTATGAGCCCTATGACCCCTACGAGCCCTCTGAGCCCCACCCATGAACCCTCTCGGCCCTGTGAGGCCCATGGGCCCTCTGAGCGCTGTGGGCCCTCTGAGCCCTCTGAACCCTAATGAACCCTATGAGCCCTATGAGCCCGATGCGCCCTACGCATGAGCCCTATGACGCCTATACGGGCCCTACGATCCCATACATGTATGAGCCTATGAGCCCTCCTATGATCCGAACCCTACAGCCCAGAGGGTGCCGCTAGAGTGCCCTAGCCTGCAGAGTTGGACGAAAGCTTGCTTGTCGTGAGAACGTTTCACGTTTCCCACGCAACATGCAACCTTATATAATTTCAAACATGTCTTTCCTCTCGAATAGAACCAACATCTTGGATTGACGGAGTCTTACTGTTCCTTACAATCGCTTCAAGAAAACAATGCTTGCTTCGTGAAAAGATTCCACTGGCAAAAAATAATGGGACTTTCAAAAATAAGCGGTTAGCCTTAGAGTTCCCTGCAGGGCCAACATCTTGTAATCAGACTGCGGAAACATTTTTTATCGTACAACCTTTTTCATGGTTTGAACGTTCGAAGATGTCATGAAAAAGGGCCAGGTTAAGTTCATAATCTAGTTTTTCGCCAAGGGTGCCGCTGGAGTTCTGGCGCCACCATGTCTGTCAAATCAGATCTCTGCGAAAAAAATGTTTTCGAATATATATATATATATATATATATATATATATTTCTTTCGTGAACAATTCTCACGAACAAAATCTTTTTTGCGTGAAAAGATTTCATTAAACAAAGCCATGTTACTTTCAAAATCCATTTTTTCGCCTGAAGGGCTCGGCTTGAGCTTCCAGGGCCAACATGCTGGGTTCTTCAAATCAGAGTTTCACGAAAATATTTCTTTTTCGCGCAGATTTCACACGAAAAAATCCTTCCGTGAGAAATTTGTACTGGGGGGGAAACAAAACCTTGCTTTCGTGAAACATTTTCGCGGAAAAAAACATTTCTTTCGTGAGAAATGTTCACGAAAAAAGCCATGTTAAGTTCAAAATCCAATGTTTTGCCTTAAGGGCGCCGCTGGAGTTTCCAGGGCCAACATGCTGGGTTTTTCAAATCAGATTTTCACGAAAAGATTCCTTTTCGTGTAGACTCCACACGAAAAAAAACCTTTCGTGAGAAATTTTCACGAACAAATATTTTTGCGTGAAACATTTTCACAAACAGAAGCAATTTTTCGTGAAACATATTCACGAAAAACACATGTTAAGTTCAAAATCCAATGTTTTGCTTTAAGGGCGCCGCTGGAGTTTCCAGGGCCAAAATGCTGGGTTTTTCAGATCAGATTTTCACGAAAAGATTCCTTTTCGTGTATACACACAAAAAAAACCGTTCGTGAGAAATTTTCACGAAAAAAACATTTTTTCGTGAAACATTTTCACGAAAAAAAAAAAAAAACAATTTTTCGTGAGAAATGTTCACGAAAAAGCCATGTTAAGTTCAAAATCCAATGTTTTGCCTTAAGGGCGCCGCTGGAGTTTCCAGGGCCAACATGCTGGGTTTTTCAAATCAGATTTTCACGAAAAGATTCCTTTTCGTGTAGACTCCACACGAAAAAAAAACCTTTCGTGAGAAATTTTCACGAAAAACAATTTTTTCGTGAAGCATTTTCACGAAAAAAAATATTTTTTTTCGTGAGAAATGTTCACGAAAAAGGCATGTTAAGTTCAAAATCCAATGTTTTGCCTTAAGGGCGCCGCTGGAGTTTCCAGGGCCAACATGCTGGGTTTTTCAAATCAGATTTTCACGAAAAGATTCCTTTTCGTGTAGATTCCACACGAAAGAAACCTTTCGTTAGAAATTTTCACGAAACAGTATTGTTTCGTGAAACATTTTCAGGAAAAAAAGCATTTTTTCATGAGAAATGTTCACGAAAAAACCATGTAAAATTCAAAATCCAATGTGTTTACCTTAAAGGCGCCGCTGGAGTTTCCAGGGCCAATATGCTGGGTTTTCCAAATGAGATGTTCACGAAAAGATTCCTTTTCGTGTAGAATTCTCACGAAAAAAATCTTTCGTGCGAAATTTTCACGAAAACAAAAAAACATTTTTTTCGTGAAGCCTTTTCACGAGAAAAAAATAGTTTTGCTTAAGAATTTTTCACGAAAAAGCAATATTTCAAAATCGTTTTGCACCAGATATCTTCACGAAGCGAATCTCACACGAAAAATTTTTGTCGTGAGAAATGTTTTCGAAACAAACGCATTTTTTCGTGCGACCTCTTCACAACATAACTTTTATGTTAATTTCAAAAAAAAAAAAAAACGATTTTTTGTTTGCTTGCACGCCGCTGCAGACATTGCTTTTCGTGTAAAATTCGCACGGGAATTTGTTCCGTGAGAAATTCCAGCGGTATTCCGTGAGAAATAATGTTGGTTTGTTTTGCGAAATCGTCTCACCAGACAACATACATATTATATATAAAACTCAACATTTCTTTAAAATCTGAGCACCCGCATGCGAAAAAAAACAACAGAGTTTGTAATGAACATAACTTTCGTCTTGCAACCTTTGTCGCGAAACAATGTTTTCGTGGGGTGCGACAGCAAGCCGTGCATCCTGGGTGCCGTAACTTCACCGTGGCCACACCGCGCCTCTGCCATTTCTGAGCTGCAGCTCTCCCGAGGCGCTGCAGCTTGGCCCAGCCCAGCTGTCGATCCTCCAGGGAGAGCTGGGGCCAGGTGGGCCTCGTTCGAAGTCAGAGGAGGCGATCCTCGGCACGTTAATCCTGGACATCGAGGGCGACGAGCCGGAGGGCATGGTGGACACGGCGGCCGGGCAGGCGCTGGTGGGCGAGAAGCAGCTGAAGGCATTGCAAGAGAAGTACTACAAGAAGGGCTGGCGAATCCCGGTGAGAAAGACCGACGGCAACAGCAGCGCCAAGGGGATCGGCGGCCGCTCCAGGGTCGTCGGGGAAGCGATGGTGCCGGTGACCAGTGCGGGGATCCGGTGCCTCATCCTCTTCAGAGTGATCGCGGAGGACGTCCCCCTCCTCCTGCCCGTGCGCTGGATGGAGAGCCTGGGAGCCGTCGTGAACCTGGCCGAGGACAAGATCACGCTGCGATTCGAGGGGCTCGACCGCACCGTCAAGCTCACGAGGCAGAGGTCCGGCCATCGCACCATGGCGCTGCTGGACGAGAGCCTCCCGGGGGACTTCGACATTCCTGAGGGGGCCCGGCGCGACTGGCCGGGCCTCGAGAATGACACGTTTCGAGTGTACAGGCCTTCCTCCTTTGCCATCCTCCCCTCCTCTATGCCCGAGGCCTCAGGAGAGCCCGTATTGGACCCCCTCGAACTCGAAGCCCCCGGGACCGTAGAAGGGAAGGGGGGGATCGGCTCGGCAGGATTCCAGGATACCCAATTCAAGGACTCAAGAGGCACTACGGGGAGATCACGAAGTACAAGAGAAGGAGAAGCTCAGGAGGATACAGGTACCAGAGGAGGTGGCACAGGGAGAGGAGGCGGCGGAGAGACCAGGAGGCTACCCTCGGAGCTCACCTCAACCGTCGTACAGACCCGTGGGCTCGAGAGCACGTCCGATTTCCTCGATTCATCTCACGGGCCAAGAGAACAGGAGCCTCTATCACGAGAAAGCCATGGCGTCCGGGAGAGCTCGCACGCCAGCGGTGAGGAGAAGCTCCAGTCTGAAGCGAGAGGGGGGCTCGAGGAAGAATTCAGCACCAGGGACTCCCCGGCCGACAGTCACCTTCTCGGAGCCGATGGACACCAGCTGGGAGAGGCTGCCGGGGTCCGACCTGGAGTCCGAGGGGAGCGAACAGTCATCCCCGCCGCTGCAGGACGGCGCGGCATCGACCCGTCCCACACCTCCGTCGCCGCCCCAGCCGACGTCAAGGCCCCACATCGGCTTCCAGACGAGCTCCCTGAGGAAGGCCTGGAAGCGGATGACGGTCAAGCTGATGATGCACGTGGCCGACGTGGGACAGGCGACCAAGATGATACAGGAGATGCGCGACGAAGCGACCGGGAAGATGAACGCTCTGGAGTGCCCTCATCCACCCTGGGCCCACTGGGAGTCAGGCAACCAGCACATGCGCTACGTCAAGTGCCTGAGGTGCTCGAGCATGATCTGGAGAAGAGACCTCACGCACCGCGAGAAGCAGGCCCAGCAGCTCAAGAAGGTCGAGAGGGAGGCCCGGCGGGCGGCGAGGACCAAGCAGCTGGAGACGCCGCCCTGGGAGCCGCCGAAGGTCGAGGGTCGCAGCAAGGAGGGCGTCAAGAGGGCGGCCAGGACTACTCCAGCGGCGTCGTCCGGTTCGGCCGACGCGACGGTAGAGACGAGCAGCTCCGACCTCAACCAGATGATGAAGGCGATCCAGACCAACAGCGAGGTGGTATCGCAGCTGGCGCTGGCGATCCAGCAGCTCGTGCAGAAGGGGACCTGAGGGGCTCAGAGAGCCGAAGGAGGATCAGGGAGGGGGAACAAGGGAGCTCGGGGATCCAGGACGATCGGGACCTCCAGGGACCCACTCCAGGAGGATCTTTCTGTGTGGAACCCGGGGAAGGAGGGGGAATCTGGCGAGCAGCCTCTGTCGCACGATCCCGCTGTCTCGGCAAAAGTCACCGAGACAGCAGCTTTAGAGCCTCGGGCATATGGTGGGACACTAAGGAAGGTCGGACGGTCACGCTTGATGAGGTTTCCAGGGCCCGGGGCTGGGAATCCCACCGGCTCGATCCAGAAGAAAAATGCCGCCTGATGGCCCAAGTGGCCTGCTACTTAGTTCGTCGGCCCGACCCGGGCGACCTAGGCGAGTGGCTTTCGGACTGGGTCAGGATCCGCTGCTCAGGAGCGTCAGGAAACGCCCTCTAC